AGGTGCCTTGGATTTGCTGGTTCAACTCGTACATCGCAACAGCACCCTCCTCTTGACGCCATCGCAAGATACCCGCTGTCGATCAGAGAACCGAAAACACACTTATTCCGGATCTAGCATTCGACCCACGACAGCACAGCCGACTTAACAATCTCCTGCTAAAGCAACAAAATGGCCGCGGCAAGCTCCAGGGACCCTTACTCGAACCCTCCCTTAGACGACGATGACTTGATCGATCCTGATGATGGTGCGCATTCACTATCAAGCGCTTCACTCAGACGTCTTGCTGACCTCGTACACCTTGTAGCCGATCTCAACGACTTCGATGACCCCCTCGGAAACACATCATCTCGTCAGCCCCTGACGGGCAACATCGGCTCAGCACCCGGAGGCTCGTCATCGCGCCCCTTGAACGAGAGCGCGTGGACGTCGCGGATACCCGGCGAAGATCGACAGACTCCCCAGAACACGATTGACGAGTCTGTTTGGGATACGCTTCGCCGCGACCTTCTCGCCATCTGGGCTAAATTGCGCGAGGTGCTGTACCCCAAGTACCTGCTGGGCGGCACCATGTTTGATGCCGACGGACTTCGGGGCGCATATGCCAATATCAGAGGTGCTGGATTCTCCGGAGCGCGCGACGAGATTACAGGTCTTGCAAGCCGCTTCATGGACTCTGAAGCTCTCCTGTCGCAGAACACTATGACACCAGGGCTCATGGACTGGGACCTTTGGGGTCCTTTGATCTTCTGCCTGCTCCTCAGTCTTCTGCTCAGCTTCAACGCCTCTCCTGACCAAAAGGATATTGTCTTCAGCGGCGTTTTCGCCATGATCTGGATTGGGGAGGCGGCTGTCACGCTGCAGATCAAGCTGCTGGGTGGCAACATGTAAGTCACGAACAAGATTGCTCCGCGGAGGACAGTGCTAATTGAGCTTGTCTCACAGCTCATTCGCGCAGAGCGTTTGCATCATCGGCTACACGCTGTTTCCTCTCGTACTTGCGGCAATGCTGTCTGCGATCGGCATACCCACGATTGTCCGTGTGCCCGTGTACCTGGTCCTCGTGGCATGGTCGCTGGCTGCCGGCGTTAGCATCCTGGGTGGCAGCGGCGTGGTCAAGAACAGGGTTGGTATCGCTGTGTACCCCCTGTTTGTATTCTATCTATTCCTTGGCTGCCTCTGCTTTATCAGCTGAGCGACCGGAGATCAAGAGCATGCGGAGGCGGAAAGTGTGGAAATGGCCGCTGCAAACCAGCAAGCGTCACAAGGCTCAATTTCAACTCGGCTGCAAAACTGTGTACCACTAGATATCCCTGGAAACTTCTTTTTTTGCGCTACATGAAAGCCTGAGCCAAATCAAACCTCGTGTGAATTGGACCTGTCAACTATTTGTAGGCCTGTACTTGTCAGTGGTACTAAACCTGTTGCCTGCCAACGACAGTTTGAGCACAATCTTAGCACATGACATGAACATCATGAAGCAATAAGGTTACAGACCAACACCGCTCATGCATCTCAGCAAATCGATTTAGAAGAGGGTTATACCGACTTACCCCTCCGTTCTCCAACACCGGGGTTGCTGCCCGTCAGACACAAGCTAGACCCGCTGATTGGTCGCGTTCCGATATCATCTGCGAAAGGTAGGCCCGCACTAGCCCAACCTTAGCCCCGGGATTCAGAAGGAAGGCGCGAGCGGGCCAGTGGTATCTGCAACCTCATCACTTCGCCCAACTTGCGACGCAACTCGCCTTTACTCTCGGTCGTCCTCCAGCCTCGCGCCATACTGTCTTTGACGCGATTCTGGCAACTCTCAAAGGCCTTGCAATAAAGCATAGCCCCTTCTCTTTGGGACCTAGCTCAGCCACGCACCCGCTTTCTCATTCGGACCCCCCACCGACAGACACGACCTGCATTGCATACATTGCCGCCCACCGCCAGAACAAACTTCACCTCTGCTCTTAGCAGCCATGGCCGACGAACCCCAATCTGGCAGCCCCAGGTCGGACCCTGTCGATTCCAAGGAGGACGCCGAGACTGCCGCTGCTCGCAAGGAGCTCAGACATGCCGCCATATCGGAGAACACCGTCGCCGATTCCGTTGGCCAGACTGGTCGCACAACACCCGAGGATGACCAAGAAGACGACCTGAAAGACCGCATCTCATCGCCCAAGAAAAAGCGCGCACGAGACCAACTAGACGACGTCGAGGCCGAAGAGCTCGACACTCACAGTGTAGCTTCGACCGATTCGGCCAAAGATCGGGCGTTGAGATCGGAGCCAGAAAAGAAGCGGCACAGAGATGAACTCGCAGACGAGAGCGTGAAGACCACCGCCGATACTGAGGTACAGCTTCTCGTTGAACCCAACTCAGCCTAATAAGCTAACAGTGAAACACAACAGAAGGGCTCGGATACGGTTGAAGACGAGGCGACGACAGAAAAGGTTACTGCTGATATATCGGATCAAACAGACCCAAAACTAAAGAGGTTGCCTGTCTCCGAGAAAGAAAAGACAACATCCTCTTCAGCATTCGCTAGCTCTGGATTTGCCAAACTCGCTTCGTCAAGCGCTTCTCCCTTTGGAGCTCTAGGCGGTAGCGGTGCGAAGAAGAGCGTGTTTGGCGGTTCGGCTGCTGCCGCTTCCCCCTTCGCGTCCGCATCGCCTCAGAAGCCTGCCACGCCGGCAGCCACACCCACGCTTAGCTTTGGGTCAGCGGGCGAGCCAGCGGCTGCATCGCCTTTCGCCAGCGCTGCACCTGGAGCGAATGGCTTCAAGTCCGTATTTGGTGGTGGCGGTGGATTCGGGAGTGCACTCGCCGGCAACCCTCTCACCAGTTTTGCGAAGCCAGGCGCATCCTTCAAAAGCGAGAAGCCGGCGAAACCGTTCGGCGCGCCAGAAAGCGACGCCGAGGACGAGGACGGCGACGAGGATGGCGACGAAGAGCCTGAATCAGCTGCCGATGACAAGGAGGCCAAGGAAGACTCCGACAAGGAGGACGCCAAGGTGTCAGAGGAGAAGAAGAAAAGCAAATTACAGCGAGGTGCGTCCACAGTCATTCATTATACAAGATTTCATTCTAACTGGATTCAGTCGCCGTTGACGATGGAGAAGCTGGCGAGATCACAGTCCTAGCCGTTCGATCCAAGATCTATCATCTAGTCAAGGAAGAGGGCTGGAAGGAGCGAGGCGCCGGAATGCTCAAGATCAATGTACCTGAGTCATGTGTTTCATTCGATGACGATGGTGTCCCCATTCCAGGATCTTTCGATGCCTCCGGCCTGGAGGATGATGAGGAGGCTGCTGGTGGCAGCAAGACCGTCCGTCTTGTCATGAGGCAAGACAGCACGCACCGTATACTGCTGAACACCATAGTCTTTCCGGCACTGGACTTCCAAGAAAAGGCATCTCTCAAGGCCGTCGGCGTTTGCTTCACTGCTTTTGAGGGAGAAGACGCTAAACCTGTGACTGTGCAGGCCAAGGTAGGAGCGGCGGAGTTACAATCCTTCTTCTAATCATGCTAACTTTGCCCTATAGATGAGCATTGCAAACGCTAAAAACTTTATGAGCGAAATTGGCCTGATCCAGCGCGAATTGGCGAGCGCTTAGTTGCATCCTGGGATGGACTCTCGCGTCGAAAGAATGTCCAGCATAGGATGACATAATAGGCAGCCATACTTAGCCGCATTTGCTTGTCACGATTGTGCGGCTCGGGCGTGAACTGGGGTGTTCATCGGCGATTGGTGTCATTGGCAAATAGGTCAGGACGGAGGGTAAAAGCATGCTACCATCGCCTGCTGGACAGACGGTTGCCTACGTTTACGATCGAGTGTGGGCGGAGGCTTCCTGTCGGTGTTACGGTTGAGTCATAGACCTGATCCAGAAGGCACACACATGCATGGCCGTTCTGGATCTTGAGGCTACGCAATGATATGTCAGTTTTCTCTGATGTGATCTGAGTTGAATCTCCTCGACGCATAACCCGCATCTTGTAGTACATGATGTTGATGGCTAGCGGCCATGCGGTCAAATACTGATTTACGAGCCTCCACCTATTACTTTGCTCTACCCAGAAGGCTGGATCCTGTTTAATCGTTGTGCTCTTACATATTTCTCTTACTCCTGATTCTTACATCTGCCGTGTCAGCATTTCCGGCTCTGGGCGGAATCTCAACTAGCCTGCAAGTTGATGAGGTTTACGACATGAATGATCAGAGTGCCCTCGAGCTTGGCACCTTCCGCCCACCTTCATACTCCGTAGCCTGAGGCTGTTCGGTCCGCGGGAATTGGTCCGCCGGGTGACTTTAAAAGGTTCCTAGTACGATTACTTCATTCAAAAAGCCAGATTTTCGTGAGCATGAGAGACGGACAGCTCTAGCAATTGCTATCAACCTTGAATTACACGATTTCGCTGTCGGCATTGTCGATTGCTCCGGTGTCTCCTCATGGCAGAGTCATGGGCAAAAACACACGTGACTTGGCGTTCTTCCCGCGACCTGTGGTGGTCCGTGCTCGCGTGGCAAGACAGACAGCATCATAGGTACACTCACGTATCGTCGCGAAAGAAACTTCTTGACTTCGTTCTCGCTCTCTTCTCAGCCTTGTTCTTATGAGCAGAGGTGACCCGACGCATTTGCCTGTAATCTGCCGGTATCCGGACGAAGACGTTGAGTGCCCCTCATGAACCTTCAGTTCTAGGTCTTCTTCGTACTTTGCTGATTGGTCAGCCTCTCAACGCCCGTACGTATCAATTCAGGCCTTGAGGCCTTGCTCCTGCTGGTCCATTTCGTATTTGTTGGAGTTTTTCCATTGACTTGCATATAGTTATCCGTCTCAGTCTGAACATGACTTCGTGAGAGAGAGCAGTGCTTCTCAAGCTCATGTCGGCCGATGAACGTCATGTGTCGCATGCTGTACTTACATTCTTCCGGTGCTACTGATCTCTAAAGAGCCAGTGCATTTGCTGGATATCATCGCATAATATTGTCATCAAGTCTCTCAGCCATGGAATCAGCTGATCCGCTGGCCGCGGCTTCATCGCCTGCCGTGTCAGGATCCTCGAGAGGAGGCAAGCGTAAGAGAGGCCAGGCTGGCGATGGACAAACAACTGGCAGTGATGCCGTTATCTTGGCCGGACTGCAAGATGCCAGCGGTGACACCGAGATTGCGGGAGAACCTCTCGCGAAACCCCGAAAGCGTGGTGGGTCGAGAAAGCCGAAAGCAACACTTAGTCGAGCAACAAGTGTAAGTGTAGTTGATTGTGAGACTGAGTGGCCCGAATCCTTCAGAGCTCTCGAGAAGACACACCGCGCTCTGAACCTCGTCTATACCTTTTGTTGCACGCGCAAGCACCTCGCTACAACCTTCGATACCATCAAATCCTCAGTCGAGTCGCATACCAAGAAACCCCTCACCATCGAGGACGTTGCAGCTATAGCCGCTCTGCGGCCAGAGGCGGTTAACTTCACCTATGTTGACGAAATCATGCTCCAGACAGAGATCATGGGAAGCGAAAGAGATGAAACGTTCAAGACCGGCCGAGCCAAAGACTTTCGCGCCCAAGGCCCCGCCCCTGATGCCTCTGTTGGAGGTATATCAGGCTTGGATGGCTTGGATCGTCACCGCGATGATGGGGTAGTCGGTGGAAAGGAGATACTGTATTTTGAGTTTGTGGATGGTGATCTCAAGCGCCAGGTCCAGGACAGGAAGACTGGAGAGCCTACGAAAGCCACGCGGAAACTGAAGGACGAAAAGCTGAAAATGCCCGTCTACAGCCAGAAGCAAATGACGACACTCATCGACAGACGCAACCAAAAGTTCTCTAACAGCATCAGCGTGTTCTTGAATCGTTGCTTAAGAGAACAAAGAGATCCTGTCGAAACTCTCAAGCTAGAGGCGCAGGCTTACATCCCTATCCCGACGGTAACGGATGACATTGCCACTGGCACCCAGCTGGATAGCCTCCCAGAAAGTATTCCCGCCGAACGAAAGAGCATACCGGAGATTGTCGACGAACTAAAGGAAAGCCCGTGGTATACAGGGCAGATCGTCCCTGATGGGCACCGGGTCTTTGAACCACAAGAAGCTGTATATGGTGATCTGGATTTCCTCCTCAGCCAAGATCTGGTAAATGCCTTATTCAACGCAAAAGGTATCACGCAATTCTTCGCGCACCAGGCAGAGGCTCTGAATGGACTGCATAATGGGCAGCACGTCGTTGTTGCAACATCGACCAGCTCTGGAAAGTCGCTCATCTACCAGCTGCCTCTCGTACACGCCCTCGAGCAGGACATGAATACACGGGCAATGTTCATCTTTCCGACTAAAGCACTTGCGCAAGACCAGAAGCGCAGTTTAAAGGAGCTAATCTCTTACATGCCCGGCATGGAAGAGGTGGTTGTTGAGACCTTTGATGGGGACACTCCAATGACTGAGCGGAACATGATTCGGGACGAGGCTCGAATTATTTTCACCAATCCCGACATGTTACACATAACCATCCTGCCCCAAGAGGAACGCTGGCGAACGTTCTTGAAGAATCTGAAGTACGTGGTTGTCGATGAGTTGCACTACTACAACGGCCAGATGGGTTCGCACATGTCGTTCATCATGCGACGACTGAGGCGCATATGTGCGGCAGTGGGCAACCGTCACATCAAATTCATCTCATGCTCTGCCACCGTGGCAAACCCCCAAGAACACTTCAAGACGGTCTTTGGCATCGAGAATGTGCGCCTGGTCGACTTTGATGGGTCCCCTTCTGGACGCAAAGAGTTCTTGTGTTGGAACACGCCCTACCGAGATCCGGGAGATCCTGCTAGCGGTCGCGGAGATGCTCTGGCTGAGTGCGCCCGACTTTACTGCCAGCTTGTCCTCAGAGGTGTACGTATCATCGCCTTCTGCCGTGTACGAGAGCAATGTGAAAAGCTCGTCAATGCTGTCAAGTCTGAGATGGACTCGCTCGGCCGTCAAGAGTGCATGGGCCGGGTCATGGGCTACCGAGGAGGCTACACCCCCCAGGATCGACGTCAGATTGAGAGTGAGATGTTTGAGGGCAAACTTCTGGGGGTTGTGGCGACCTCCGCTCTAGAGTTGGGCATCGACATTGGCAGTCTCGATTGTGTGCTTACCTGGGGATTTCCATACACCATCGCTAATCTGCGCCAGCAGAGTGGCCGAGCAGGCCGGAGAAACAAGGACTCGCTCTCCATTCTCGTCGGTGACTGCTTTCCCACAGATCAGCATTACATGCAAAATCCTGATGAGCTTTTCACCAAACCCAACAGTGCACTCCAGGTTGATCTGGAAAACATGTTGGTTCGAGAAGGCCATATTCAGTGTGCAGCATACGAGATGCCCATCAAACCAGTCGAGGATGCTCAATACTTCGGGAGTGATCTTGCCAAGGTTTGTCAGGAGAGGCTCATCTTGGGTGAACTGGGCTTCTACCATTGCCACGAACGTTTTCGCCCACAACCTGCCAAGTTTGTTGCCATCCGCGACACAGAAGACGAGCATTTTGCCATTATCGACGTAACGCACGGCAAGAACCTTGTTCTCGAGGAGCTCGAGGCTTCTCGTGCCTTCTTCACATTATATGATGGAGCCATTTTCCTGCATCAAGGAAGCAAATACCTTGTACGAGATTTCGATCCAGATCGGCACATGGCGCGTGTGGAAAAGGTCAATGTCGAGTGGATCACGAAGCAGCGCGACTACACAGATACCGACCCTATCGAGACGGAAGCCATCAAGCGCATCAACGGATCCCTTTCAAAGGCATTCTATGGCACCATCAAGATCCAGCAGAACGTCTTTGGCTTCTTCAAGCTGGACAAGAAGAAGCGGGTCATCGATGCGGTTCACGTCAGCAACCCTCCCGTCATCCGGTATGGCAAGGGCATGTGGCTCGATATCCCGAAGAAGGCCTTGTTGATCTTGACGGAGAGGCGACTGCACATTGCAGCGTCAATTCATGCTGCCGAGCATGCTATTCTGAGCCTGATGCCCAATTTTGTCATCAGCATGCCCGGCGATGTCCGGACAGAGTGCAAGGTCGCGCTGAAGGAGTTTGCGCAGAAGGAGTCACAGCGGAAACGGCCTGCGCGGCTGACCTTTTATGACGCCAAGGGCGGCGCCAGCGGGTCTGGTATCAGCACAAAAGCTTTCGAACATGTCGATCACCTGTTGAAGCAGGCTCTGGCTCGAGTCGAGGCGTGTTGGTGCGAGCACGGCTGTGTTGAGTGCGTCGCTTCGGAGCTTTGCAAGCAAGCAAACGAAGTCATGAGCAAGGCAGGGAGCTCTGTCATTTTAAAGAGCTTGCTGAACATGGAGATCGATATCGAGGCGTTGCCCATGGGTCCGGAAGAGTATAGCCCTGCTGGTATCGAGACGGTGATTTTGGCTCAGCCTGTTCCACCAAGGGACCGAGCCCTTCTCCAGGAGGTGGGGGTCAAGGAGGAGGATTTTGAGGAGCGGGAGACTGCCACTTGGAACGAAGTCCAATTCTGGGATGGCGGTTCGACGTGATTATTGGCAAGCTGTGCTTGGATCTCATCAGCCCGAGAAGATAAGGGCTTTGCCAGTTGGGCCACTACCGTGATGGCACCTCGCCGGAATCTCTGACCAGCTTTGTGCGAAAAGCGGTTGCGTAGCTTACCTCAATCCGTCACTTGCTCTAGTATGCCGTTTGTCTACCTTTCAAAACCCAGAGGTCTTCAACATGTCACAATAAGGCTATCGAATTGCTGCCAACGTCCTGCGCGCGTTGGCATCCAAAGGAAGAGTGATCTTAAGTGTGCTCTCTAGTTTTAAGGACTGCTGCAACGAATCACCTCGCCATGGCAACCTTGGAAAGAAGCTTTTGCCAAGTCCAAGCCAGCATTAGACGTGGCCTCGGTGTGCAACTCGTCGGTTAGTCGGTAAACTAAGTTCGTAGCGGGGGGGGGGGGGGTCTTGGGCTTGAGTGACCAGCGAGCGCCCACAGGAACGATACGTTTCGTATCATATGCCCTCAAGGGAGATCATCGTCGTGTGAAATTGAACATCTCCTTCAAGGCGCCGGTCCCAGATAACCGCCAGCGATAAAGGGCCGTGTCGACATCTCCTATCTCAATCGTGCGCCCGCATCCCACCGTGATGGCGCCTCACTCCGCGGAGATGCACATTCTGACGGGTGACCCGCAGATAAGGCAGCTCACCCCTGACAGGGACCCCCAAAGCGGCTACCGATTCTCGAACGACGGACCCTCCAAGCCTGGATCACAGCCGCAAGACGAGAGTCACGAATCACAATGCTCCCATTTCATCTATCGCTGCGTACATGTATGCCAACCCAGGTCTCCTATCCGGAGATACACAAATATTTTGAGTGACGCAATCATCCCAAGAACGCCGGTCCTGTTTGCCCTCCCCCAAAATGTTCCCAGCCATAGCCCGGGAGCCCTCAGACACCCCGGAAACCGGTGGTTCCCAGATTTAGCCCAACGCCCAACACACAAAGCCCGGGGATCCGAAAGCCGAATCACCCCTCCAGTTGCCGCCCGTTCAGAAGAACAGCAAATCGTCCTCCTTCCACCCGAGGCCCAGAAGACTCGTCTTGGCGCTCTTCTCAAAGGCCTCCGGCCCGCAGATCAGAACCATCTCCTCCCCACAGGCACTGCCGCCCGCTCCCAGTTCGTTCTCGAAGAAGGCTGCGTCCATGCGGCCCCTAAGACCCGTCCATGAATCGCTTCCCCTGGTGAGAGTGTGACGTAGCGTGCATCTGCCTGGCGCCAACAGGGCCATGGCGTCAAGCTCCTTGCGGCAGAGGATGTCCTCCTCGACCCTGTTGCCATCGAGCACGAGGCACTTGGTAGGATCCTCCTCGTCCTGGATGACTGCTCGCAGAACCTGGTAGATGGGCGTGATGCCGGAGCCGGCACAGACCATGATGAACCGCTTGACCGTGCGCTGTTTGCCGGAAATCGTGCAGAGACCGCTTCCGTGATACGTAAACTTGCCGACTGGTCCCTTGAAGTCGACAAAGTGCCCAATGGGGATCGAGTCGAGCGCCTGCGTCATGCGTCCGCCTTTTGCCTCTGGCGTATCACGGTAGATCTTGATGAGAACGTCCAGCTTGCCCTTGTCTGTGCCCTGCGACATGGGGGTGTATGCACGGATGATAGCCTCTCTCGTCGCCGGGTCCCGAAGTCGCACCATGAGATGCTGGCCTACGGGGAGGCCAATAGTCTGATCGGGGTGCTCGAGGTCAAAGGTGAAGATCTTGCTGTCCGAAGAGACAGGCGTCTTGGCCGAAAGGATCGCCTTGGTCCACGTCTTATTCTGGAGGAATACTTCGCGCTTTGCGTCCGTCTCCGATTGCTCTTCACCAGAGGCAAGTGCCTTGCGGCCGGCTTCGTCGAGGGTGCCAATGTGGTATTCAGGCATCATCTTCTTTGCGTTTTCGCTGTCTGTGAGACCGTTAGCTCGAGCACGCCAGGTCAGACTGACTGAGTCTTACGAATGGCCAGGAACTCCTCCGATGCATCCTGTCCGGCAGCGCCGAAAATGGATGCTGCGCCTCCTGGATGGCCGTCGAGGTAGCCGGTTCCATCATACACTTCTCCATTCACTACAAACCATGGCGCCTCCTCGCCAGCGTGCTGGCGAAGCTCCTCTATCGTAATGGCGCGCTTGACACCTTCCTTTGTCATGCAGATTTCCTGGACAGGCTCGACCGCCACAGTCTCCTCAGATTCGCCCTCGATCTTTTCTCCCCAGAAGCCGTTGGACAGGTTGCCGCCGGCCTTTTTGATGCGCTCCATCCAGCCACCAGCCATGAGTGCAGGCAGTGTAGGGTGCTCAAATCGCAACTCATGGCCCTCCTTGTGAATGACTACTCGGAACCAGGGGTTGTTCATCATGCCGAGAACGCTCCAGTACATGTCTCTGGGCTGAACCATCATGCCTTCGTCCATGCAACGGACCATGACGTCGTCGGCGGCAGCAATCTGAGACATTGGGATGTCCAGATCCCAGAAGCACCAGCAGAAGCTCGATTCTCGCCAGGCCATGTCCATACGGCCACCGTACAACATGTCACCGTCGGGGGCAAGTCGGTACTCGTCTTCCGGGTAGCTAATGTTGGCGAGGGTCCACGATTTTCCCTTGTCCAGCGTAACCTCCACACGAGTGATCCTGCGACCACCTCCACCGTAGGCGTAGCCTCGGACTTTATAAGACTCGGGGCCGTCGACAAGGGAGACCCTTTCGTCATGGGCTGGGTAGCAGGTGGCGCTGTTGGCGTTGAGGTCGTAAATGGCGTAACGCTCGTCCTTCCAAGTGTCGGGCAGATCGGCACTGGCGTCGGGCGAGATCATTGTAGGAAGAACGCGGTTGTCGTAGATGTGATACCAGTTATCGCTTGGCTCCTTGGAGACGATGATCTTCTTCAACCACTTGACGCTGCGTCCGCCAATCTGTCCAGGAATGATGATTCGTACTGGCCTGCCGTGGTCAGGGTGGAGGAGCTCGCCGTTCATGCGGTAGCAGACAGTGACGCCGCGGTTGGGATCCATGGCCCAGTTGAGTTTGATGCTAGTACCATAGTATCCATTGGGCAGCTTGTCGGCTCCCTCAAAGGATACATAGCGAGCGCCCCTCTTGGGCATAGCACGAGCCAGAAGGTCGCCGAGGGACACACCGGTCCAGAGCGCGGTTGACAGGCCAGCAGCGCCCCAAGAGAAGCCTTTTGTCTTGCGGACAACGTTCTGCTCCTTTCGCCTGTTGCCAGCACAAACGAGGGTGACGGGGTAAGTGATCTGCTCATACTCGGTGATGAGGTCTCTCAGAGTCATCGAGATCGGCTTCTCGACCATGCCTTCCACGGTGAATTCCCAGTCAAGCAAATCCTGGTCCTCGACCTTCGGGACAGCGCCATGGTTTCGGACGTAGTGTAGGTCCTTGTTCGTAAGGAAGCCTTGGTCGTAGAGATCACTAAGAGGCGCTTCGACGTTGAACGGGTGGACACCCGTTAGCCGGATGAGCCTCGGGTCTCTTGTAACGTGGCTGTCTGGTGTCTTCAAGTCTTGTGGCAGGACTTGGTTGACTGTTGGCGTGGGAGGTAGGGGGTACACGCGGGGCCTCTCGGCATCGAGCTCTTCAAAGAGACATAATGAACTGGACTCGCCAGCTTCACCATCGACGCTTGCACTGCGGTCTTCCTTGATGGTGTCTGCGGGACTTGGGGGCAGCTTGAAATCGGGCTTGATAGTGAATGTGTCGCTCGGGAGGGATTCCGGTAATTGGTCCCGGAAGGGCAAGGCAGGGGTCGGTGTGAGGATCTCCATGTTGTCGACAAGCCCAGTGTGTGTTTGATCTCTGAGACCAGTGTGGGAGGGTAACACACAGTGGAAATGATGGAGAACGAAGGAACAATAAGAAGAAGTTGGTTGTAAGATTGGATCAAGTAGGGCTGGGTTCGGTAGTAATATGGGATCCCGCGTCGAATCTACATCAGCAAGAGCAATGTGTAAAGCATTCTGTTTCTCCGGGGATTATGGAGCGTGGCATGGTGCCGGAGGTGGGTGGGAATGCAGGCATGGCGGTGCAGCAACTCTACTCCGTACTTCCTTTGGGGGGAACCCTCAGATCGCACCACCGATTAGCACTAGCTGGAGCTCGACGGGCGCGATCCACGGCAGAGAGATCTCCGGCAGGCCAGCACGTCAACGGACCAGTCTAAGCCATGTCTGTATCATAAAGACACGGCAATACCGACCCGATGTTTGGTCCACCTCGAAGGGAGGCCCTTATCAATGTGCGCGTGGCGGATCTCTTATGGGGTGTGCGTGATTGGGTCGATGGTCGAAGATAAGGAGTCAACCCGGAGATGCGCCAAATTCGAGCGACGTTGAGCACTACCACGGGCTTGCAGAAGCCTTCCAGACTCATGTCGAATGGCCTCTCGTCTTGTAGTCTTGTGGCGATCCCATCGGTACTGCGACCTTGCGTGAATATGTCATCTTGTCAGCGGAAATGTTGACCAGCTGTTTGGACGACATCTTCGACAGACCATCTTCCCCATGTGCCTGTAACACAAAGGAACCAACTGACGAAGCTAACAATCGGAGTTCAAGAGAGACTTCTTGTCGTCTTCGGAAAAGCCATCTTATGACTAGGTATCGTTCGCTTTTGGATTCCATGTTATTGCCTTCTTGGGGTTACGATAGACACCCGCATCTAGTGAGAAAGTCACGCCTGATAGCCAGGAGGAACCAGGCTCGCACATCAGGAGAAGTACCCATGGCTTGCAGAAACCCGGGCTTCAGCTGCCTTGTGCTGCCCCAGGGCAGCCTGCACAGAGTATTCGCTATCAATGATATCGGTGACAGATTTGAATTGGCTGGAGGTCATGGTAAGGTCATAATAGACCGAACGCAACGGGAATAGCGTCCTTCGTTATCAGTTCGAGTTTCAGGGTCGAGTGGAGCACCCGGAAAGGTGGACCCGCTGGGGAGCCGCCGCCACAACGTTCTTCCGTTCTCCGCCCATGGCCGTCTTAGTCAGCGACCGGCTCCAGGGCTAGACGCAGCATTCACGCGGCTGCGCTTAACATTCCCACAGCGGAGCGGCTAAAACGGTGCGTCACCCCTTCAAGGTGACAAGACTGTGTGCTCCACTGCGAATATGAGGGAACCTAACGTCCCGCAGTGGAGGAGCCTTCATGACCACCACGTCTTGCCGATAACTTTCGTGCCAACTTCCTCTGGCCGAGACTCTGGTGCTAGCCAAACACTCAGGAATCTTGCGCGCGCACGCATCCAACCCCAGAAAACCTCTTCTCGATCCACCGATGCCGGTGCTCGCCGATGCGCAATACGTTTACCTAGGGCCGTCTATACCATAGCAGCTCTCCCACCGACCAATGTAGCACCAACAGGTCGAGATAACATTCACACTCAACAATCCGCGATCTGTCATGGATCGCGCAAGGAAGCGTGAGCTCTGAGAGCCTACGTTACCCCCCAAAACAATGTATCCTAACTCCGAGTACAGGCCAACTGCGCTCCCTGAACGAACGCGCCTGGGCTGGCGAGACGGGTCCGTACTTTCATCCCTCGGAACACTCACGCAGCTCCCTCTGACTTGCGTCCTCTAGATGTTTTTACCGTCAACAAGTCTCTAGACTCTTCGCTCAAGAAGAACACTGCCTTCATCAAGAGGCTTCGAACCGCCATCTCTGCCGCCACCCTCAACACGTTCATCCAAGAGATCCGGACCCTCAGCCTTCACAAGTACCTGTCTGAGATCATTTCGGCCTGTTACGAAGGACTATGTCGACTCAAATCACCCGGCGAGGTTGACGCCGGAGTGGAAATTGTTAGCGCGCTTCATCAGCGATTCGGCGCCAGCGAGTTCACGGAACACCTAGGATGGCTACTCGGCAAGGGCATGGCAACACCCGACAAGAGCATCCTCAAGACTCTGCCTCCGGAGGTTCGCGAAAAGGAGGAAAAGGAGCGCATCAGCCGCCAACGCGTGCTCCTGCGAATTGTATCCGAACTATGGCTTGTCGGGGTTTTGAAAACCCTCGATGACATCACGCGACCGGACGATGCTACAAAGGGTGCAACAGGCAAGGTCACGGACCTCAAGTTGAAAACGAGTTCCAGCAAAGGCGGGGCCGCGGAGCCGTTTCCCTTGGAGGTGCTGAAGGATCTGCTGGGCCACGATCGGGAACACGCCAACTTGCCGCTGCTTGTCATCTTCGTCAAAGCCTTCAGCTGGGATATTCTCGGCGTCCGACCTGCAGCCGCCGAGGGACGGAAGACTGTGGAGGAAGATGGTGCCACACGGCCTGCGCATGAGTTCTCGGGAGAAACCGATGGTGCTGATGGCCCTACGACCGACAGCGACGACAGCCCATTCACTCCACCCGAGCTCCAGGAGAAGTTCAAGAGCATCCTCAAACGTTACTTCGACGACGTCAAGAACCATGTTCTACGCGACCAAAAGGCTATCCATTCGCAGGCGCGCCGCAACGCCGAGGCTTATGTCAAGTCGGGGGAGGTGTTTGAGGACCGACAATCCAACTACGAAAAGCAAGTCAAGTCGCAAGAAAGACTCGTTGCTAATGCGCAAGCTATCGCAGATGTCATCGGGGCCGAAATGCCTGACCTCAAGGACCACGAAGATGCTGGAGCCGCGAACGGCTCCATTGGTCTGGTCAAAGCGGGAGAGTACCTCCGCGGCTTGGGCGATGGTGCTGGCATCTGGGAAGACGAAGAGGAGCGACGCTTCTACGAGAATCTTGTGGATCTGAAAGGCAAGGTGCCTGGGATGCTTCTCGAGGACGGCAAGAAGAAAAAGCCCGAGAACGATGAGCAGGTCGGAAAGAAGATTGACGCCGCGGATGTCGAAGCGCCAAAGCCGACCGATGCCGCCGATGACCAGTCGATGGCCATCGCGAACAAGACCATTGGAGCTCAGGTCGATGCAGTGCTAGCCCGACTGCCAGAACTAACGACAAAGGATGCCATCGATGAAACAGCGATTGACTTTTGCTTCCTCAACTCCAAGGCCTCGCGGAACAGGCTGATCAAGGCTCTCACCGAGGTGCCCAAAGGCCGAGGAGACCTGCTCCCCTGCTGGGCACGCCTGGCTGCGACACTTGGCCAGTACATGCCAGATGTCCCCAAGGGACTTGTGGACTACCTTGATGCTGAGTTCCGCAGCCTGCAGAGGCGCAAGGAGAAGGACTTTCTTGGTCAAGTCCGCTTGGGCAACATTCGGTATTTGGCTGAGCTAACCAAGTTCGGCATTGTTCCTGAGCATGTCGTGTTCCATTGCCTGAAGGTCAGTATGGATGACTTCTCAAAGATGAACATTGAGATTATCTGCAATCTTCTGGAGAATTGTGGGCGTTACCTCCTGCGAAACCCTGAAACGTCGCCTCGCATGGCAACTTTTCTCGAGACCCTCCAGCGAAAGAAGTCAGTCCAGCACATCGGCCAAGCCGAGCGCATGTTGATCGAGAATGCCGTTTACTATGTTGATCCGCCTGAACGCCCAGCCATCGAGCAGAAGGAGCGTGACCCTATGGAGCTGTTCATCCGCAAGCTGATTTACATGGACATGACTAAGCGCAACTTCAGTAAGATTCTGAAGCAGATTCGCAGACTTCACTGGGAAGAAACGGAGGTCGTCACCATCCTCGAGAAGGTATTTTCGAAGCCCGGCAAGGTCAAGTATGGCAACATTCACTTGCTGGCCATCCTCATGGGAGCCCTCTATCGCTACCATCCAGCCTTTGCAGTCAAGGTCATTGACAACCTCATCGAATCCATATGCTTCGGTCTTGAACTTAATGACTACAAATATTATCAGCGACGCATCGCCGAGGCGAAGTACTTGGGTGAGCTCTACAACTACCGAATGGTCGAGCACCCTGTCATTTTCGACGCCATGTACAAGATCGTGACCTTTGGTCACGGGGGTGTGCCTCACCCTGGCCGGTTCAACGCGTTCGATCCTTCCGACGATTTCTTCCGCATCCGACTTGTGGCGATCATCCTGGAGACCTGTGGAGTCTACTTCACCAAGGGTGCTGCCGGCAAGAAATTGGACCACTTTCTGTACTTCTTCCAGTACTACATCTACACCAAGCAACCCCTGCCGATGGATATCGAGTTCATAGTTACTGATGTCTTTGCACTGACGCGGCCCAACTGGCAACTGGCCACCAGCTACGATGAAGCTGTCAAGGCTTTCCAACAGGCAGTCGCCAATGACCAACGGATGTCGGGTGCTGACAAGGCTGCCGAGGCTGCGGAAGTCGACGATGCGTCCTCTGTCTCCTCGGATGATGACGAGGATGGCGATCCAGACCTACCCGAGGCTGAGGCGGACGGCGACGAGGATGAGTCTGGCTCTGAAGATGACATTGATGACGAGGACAACCACGGGTCAGCCATGGACTCGCTTTCTGTGTCAGAAGATGAGGCTATCGTTGTCACGCGCCAAGAACAGCAGATCGACCCAGAAGCCGAGGCCGATTTTGAACGCGAGTATGCAAAGATGATGGCCGAAAGTCTCGAGTCGCGCAAATTTGAGCGAAAGCCGCTTTTCGATGTTCCACTCCCGGTTCGTGGCAAGACCAAGGAGGCTTCTTCTGGAGCCGAGCCCATAGAGCCAGCCACCTCTGGACCAGGACCCACGATGGCATTCTCCCTGCTCACGAAGAAGGGCAACCGCCAACAGGTCGGTCTCGCATTCGCCTCCGCGTCGACGTTTTCTTTCTTCTTACTGACTATATTTCCAGACACGTACTGTTGAAGTGCCGTCCGACTCTAACTTCGCCGTGGCGATGAAGAACCAACAGCAAGTCGAGAGGGAGGAGCAACAACGCATCAAAAACCTGGTGCTCAACTACGATCTCCGCGAAAATGAAGAACAAGATGGTGAACTCGAACCATATTCCGCCATGAAACCAAGTTATTCACAATCGACTAGGAACCGACAAGCCCAGCAGCCATCACCACAACCGCGTGGAACGAGGCAAAGAGCGGATCGGCCAACGATCGCGCAAACTCCAGCTAAGTGATGTCGACTGGTACGACTCCTCCAGAAAGCGCAGCCAGCACTTCGCGAAAGCGCCCAAATCTACTCCCTTTTGTCGTGGCCGCACCAGCATCGAGGACAGGGACCAGCAAGTCGCTGCATCCTTGATCGACGATATGTCCAGCAAGCGTAGCACGTCGAACGGACGACTTGCGCCGCGCCATAACGCCGCCTGCATGCGTCAACGTCGATGTCAATCCTAGGAAGAACTTAGATTTGCTAACCAAGAGGGGCACTGCCCGCCTTCACAATAGGACTTGACACGCACAAGATCAGATCCGGTCCTCATCACTCACATAGACAGTAGTCAAACACAACAGCACTACGGCTGCGGTATCTTCGGGTTACCGAGAAAAGGCTTGCGCCTGGAGGTGGCGCCAGCAGTCCGGAGACTCTCAGCATAACCACAGAGCTGGAAGGTCAACTACTAATGTTGTCACGCATTGACAAACCAACAGCGTATGCCGCACCAACTTCTAGTCAAGATACTACTACGTCGCCATGGGGCTACGTCGGAATGCGCCGAAACGTCGACAGTAGCGCGCACCAGGAAGAAACAACAGCAACGGCTACAGTCACAAAGCCCCACGCACGCGGTGCTGTGGCCCAAGGTCTCACGAGATGACGGCAGCTGGAACGTGACGCGCCCTGACGAAACCTGGTATGTACTGACGAGGTCGGACGCATGTCCAAAACAGGAGCCGATGCCACTCTGGATTGGAAGCACATAGCTAGAGAGCAAGATTGTTGAGCCTCGGGCAAGCATTCCATTTACATGCGTTAGTTCTGGCAACAGCGAACAAAGATCTCTGCGATCCTTAGAGAACCTGTGTCGGCGGGACAGTTTGATGTGACCTTGTTGTGATGGTCTGCTTTTTTCCTAGACCGCCCGAGTTTGCTGGTTCTGTGAAGGATCGAGATCGCTTAAGTGGACGCAGCGTTGGCCAGACTTATTCGGCAAGAGCTACACCCAAGAGCCTGCCCATGACCGAGCTTGCCGGGGCTGTAGGCAGGTTCCAATGGCCAAACGTGACTCGGTGGCCCTTGCTATGTCGGTGGAGTTACTCACGACCACGGATGTATGTGAACGGCGGGGTGTATCGTCGGAACGAGGCAACAAGTGGGCAGGCTCCGTCTTCCCCTGGAGCCAAATAGACCTGAGCGCCACTTGATCGGAACCACGGCCGTCTTTTGCAATGTAAAATGGTCAGGCACAACCACAAACCACTTGACTGCTCAGCCACTGGGCCCAGTGAGACAGAAGGCGCGATGTAGGGGCCCGCTATGCTACACGATGTTGGACGGGGCATTCTTACCCACGGCCCATATTGCGTCCCTAGGTAAGTGTTGACGATGAAGACGTCTCCGCACATATTTCATGAGGTCAGGCAAGGAGTGGCCTTCGGCCTCCGAGGTGGGTTGAACACTGCCAGCATACTCTCGTTGTCTCGTTGACATATCTGCCTTCGTTCGCCGCAGCCTTGAGCAGCTGATCGTTGTCCCTGTCACACTGTGGCTACAGTGGGACGATAACAGAAGGACCCATCTCTTTCCGAACTCGTCTCATTGCATTCGTGATATTCTGTGCCTGTAGATGGTCACAGGATCTGGGCGTTGACGCGTTGCAGATAAGCTGCCACGTCTTCCTGTTCCTACCTCAGTCAACAGGCAAACAATTCACCAAAACCATTGGATTCCACACCCTGGGAGTAAGACGTAGGTGAATACGTTTGCACAAAGGGATCATTCTCGAGTCCCGATCAGCCCAAGTGAACCAACCACGAGATTAGCTTTATAAAGATAGCACAACACCAGCATCCGTGCTGCACTTACCCGGCCGGATTACAGGGGCAACTGCGATTACCCGTCACTTCTCACCGCGACTTTTCGGCCATCGGAGCGACTCTGCTCTCAGCCTTGCCTGTGAGAGCGTCATCAATGGGTTTTTTTTCTCTCTTCTTCTCCAGTTCGGTATATCTAGCGGCTCCTGCATCAGTGTCTACCTACTTGTGTTGAGTCTCAGTGCATCATGTCTGACGATGAGAGGGACGATTGGCCAGTGCAAGATGTAGGATCCAGACCATACCTTCAGCATTCTTCGCCAGACTGCTAACGCGCCCAGATCGTATATACCTCCATTGTGGGGGTTGTGATGCTTGCTGCTGTGCTGGAGTGGTTTCTTTGGATCGCAGCATTTCTCTATTGCCTCTGGAAGGTCTTCGTCAAAGCGGAACACTGGACCATCAGAGTGCTTTCCGTCGTCGTTGCCTTACTTTTCACAGCACTGAGGTAGGACAGTCACATTTTCAATGCGCCCAGGTGCCCGACACAACTGCTAAATGAGATCAAGGTCCATCTTCCTTCCAATTATGGTTGTCACCCTGCCGCTTCCCGCTGCCGTCGTCGAAGTCTGGCCGCCTGGCATGGTCGAGGTTCTGCAATGGTTCGGATTTTGGTGTTTTGCTGGTCTTCTAACAGTTCCCTGGCTATTTTGCATCTACCAGCTGGTCACCAATCAACTCGGCCGCACCAAAAGAATCAAGCAGGTCCTCGATGAAGTGTCTGCACCTAAAGTTGTCATTGTCATGCCATGCTACAAGGAGGAACCGGATATCCTCGTCAAGGCTGTCGATTCAGTTGTGGACTGCGACTATCCACCGTCATGTATTCATGTCTTCTTGTCTTTCGATGGCGACCAGGAGGATGAACTCTACCTAAGGACCATTGAGAGTCTAGGCATCTCCTTGACCCTTGAGTCTTACCCCAAGAGTATCGATGTCACTTACAAAGAGGCACGTATAACAGTCTCCAGATTCCCGCATGGCGGCAAAAGACACTGTCAGAAGGCCACGTTCGAGCTCATCGATAAGGTCTATCGGCACTACCTCCAGCGTAACGACAACCTTTTCATTCTTTTCATCGACTCGGACTGCATCTTGGATCGGCATTGTCTGCAGAATTTCGTCTATGACATGGAGCTGAGCCCAGGTAACCGACGAGACATGCTGGCCATGACTGGAGTCATCACATCCACCACCAGGAAGCACAGCCTCATAACGATTCTTCAAGACATGGAATACGTCCACGGACAGCTTTTTGAGCGCACTGTCGAGTCAGGATGTGGCTCTGTCACCTGCCTGCCAGGTGCTCTGACAATGCTCCGGTTCTCTGCATTCCGTAGGATGGCGAAGTACTATTTCGCAGACAAGGCCGAGCAGTGCGACGACCTCTTCGACTTCGCCAAATGCCACTTGGGAGAAGATCGTTGGCTGACGCATTTGTTCATGATCGGAGCAAAGAAGCGGTACCAGATCCAAATGTGCACATCCGCCTTCTGCAAGACAGAGGCTGCGCAAACGACCAAGTCCCTCATCAAACAGCGCCGAAGGTGGTTTCTGGGTTTCATCACCAACGAAGCGTGCATGCTCACGGACTGGCGGCTTTGGAAACGGTATCCGGTCCTAATTTTCGTTCGCTTTATGCAGAACACAATCCGCACAACGGCTCTCCTGTTCTTTATCATGGTTCTCGCCATCATTACGACGTCGAAAAAGGTTGATCAGCTGCCTGTCGGGTTCATTGCCGTTTCCCTGGGGCTGAACTGGCTTCTGATGATATACTTTGGAGCCAAGCTCAAGCGGTTCAAGGTTTGGCTGTATCCGGTGATGTTCGTCGTCAACCCCTTCTTCAACTGGTTCTACATGGTGTACGGTATCTTCACGGCAGGGCAGAGGACGTGGGGTGGTCCTCGAGCGGACGCTGCAGAAGCGAGTTCGGGCGCGACAGCCCAGGAAGCCATCGAACAGGCAGAGAAGGCGGGCGACGACCTGAATATCGTTCCGGAAATGTTTGTGCGCGCCGCTGCAGCCCGGAGAAGGAGCCTCAACAAGGGTAACCAAGGCGGCGGCCTCGGCAGAAAGACCAGCGTGGTACGGCCGCCGGATAAGATCGACGGCCGCTTCACAGCGCGGAATCAGCTGCATGGAGGCTTCTTCACGCACGGCGACGAGTCTCTCGACAGCATCGCAGCAGGCGGGAGTGGAGAGGCGTCGGAGCCTGGCACCCGCTGGGCGCCTGATCCTCGTGAAAGCTTCGACAGCACTCTCTACAGTCAGACGTACGGCAACTACGGGGTTCCCCCACGTCGATTGGAAAGCATCATGGACGATGAGGACCGGAAGAAGTTTGAACTCGCACAGCAGAGCCAGTCATATACCATTTTACGGCCAGCTCGAATCGTGTAGAGGGCCTACCCTCGCGGGACTGTGCCCGGGAAAGCGCAGGCCCCGCGTAGTTTGGCGACAGGGAATCTGTTGACACGCCGGGGACTTGAAGAAGTAGATATGGGAGCGGCGCAGCGGACGGTATGATGTGTCAGGCCGATGATATTTCACCTGATCCGATACGTCAAATAGAGCCAAGGGATGGCGACGGACTGTGGATTTGACGTAGATTTTTTTTTTCGTGCAAAAATTCCTGGCTCGACCGATGCCTGCCTGACGATGTATTCTATTTGGAGATGATGTCTCCATTTTCGGGGCTCACGACAATGGCCCATGCCACGGGGTAGTGATCAAAGTCATGAACACGCAGGCAGGAGTGAGGCTTGGACGTAAGATTTCCAAGCCGCCAAGACCAGCAGGCGACAGCACTGTGCGAGGTTGAAGCAGAACATGTGTGCACTGTATTTACGATGGTCAACGAGCGTGGGGCATTGTATGAGATCCTTGCGAATGAGGGGTGATGGTGGGGTAATGCGCATGTCGCGAGCTGCCCTACGAAACAACCTATGGAAGAGACTGACGGTGAGGACGAAGCCCCTTGAGCGCCGAGACAGGGTCGAGTAGCTACCTGTAATGGGTTGGTGCGGTTGACGTAAAGGTCAGCTAATATTATGACGCTGGGAAAGAAGCTGAGGAGTCGAGCACTGTGTACGGATGGCTTGATCATCAATCACTGGCTGGTTGGGGGAGGTGTTTTGGAAACAAGCAGGAATTTCGCGAGTCGTCGAGAAAGTTCTTTCCTGTTCGATGAGAGGATGGACAAGTCTGTCGTTGGCGGGGCAGGTTCCAAGGGGGTACGCGATGGGTACTTGCGGGCGGCAGCAGGACGGGGGCTGCGAGGGGCAGTTCATCCACTGAAATGACGCCGTCGGACCCCCTGGTGTGCCCGCCTCGCGCCTGTCACCGCCTGGGGCGCAAAGTATCGACCAAGTAGCCACTAGGACAGACCAGCAGCAACCCCTCCATCGGGAGGGGGAGGGGGGTGGGAGAAAGAGGGATTGCACACTGCTTGCCTCACAAACGTCTGGGTGGTGCTGGCTTTTTTTTTTTTGCCCGCCCACACCCATTATCAAACGTCGTCAAATCAGGCACCTTAGCCTCGTAGCGCACGCCCGGCCCTGCCTCTCTCTCTCTGCCTGGCTCCTGAACTTTTTTCTTCACCTGTTGCCGCTGCAGCCTTTATCTAATCGGCCACTCCAACGCTTTTCCCTCACCCCCCCAAAGAGACCCCCCCCCCCAGCCCACCCACCCCGCATCCATACCCCCCCTCTGCGAACAACACTTACCCCCGCCCATCCCCTTCCTACCACAACATCGTCTCGTCTTTTGGCTGCTACTGAAAGCCTGAGAGAGTATCGTCACTTCCTTCCATCCACTTCACATACGCAGAACCCGACTGCTACCGCCACCATGAGTGTCGTTGGTATGTTGTTCCCTATTCCTGCTGCTTCCACCTCCCCCCACCCCCTCCTGTTTGCGCGCAAGGCGTAAGGCTCTGGCTTTCCGGAACCTGAATCTTTGCTCGCATGTTACCCCTTCACCAAACGGCAACCGCTCGTAAAACCGATCACTGACGATCCCTTCCTCCTCATCAGGTGTCGATTTCGGAACCCTCAAGACGGTCATTGCTGTCGCCCGCAACCGTGGCGTTGACGTTGTGAGTAGCCCCTCCGCCCCTCCCTGCTTCTCTGGCCGGTCCCCTCCCATCTCGAACCCACATCTTGCGACCAAGATGGCAGATGGCTGACATGCTGCCTCTTACCTATACAGATTTGCAATGAGGTCTCCAACCGTGCCACCCCTTCCCTCGTCGGCTTCGGCCCCAAGTCGCGCTACCTCGGCGAGACTGCCAAGACGCAAGAAATGTCCAACCTCAAGAATACTGTCGGCTCCCTGAAGCGCCTCGCCGGCCGCAGCTTCAACGACCCCGATACCCAGATCGAGCAGACGCACATCACCGCTCCCCTCGTCGACATGAACGGCCAGGTCGGCGCCGAGGTCAACTACCTCGGAAAGAAGGAGAAGTTCACCAACACCCAGCTCATCGGCATGTACCTGAGCAAGATCAAGCAGACCACCGCTGCCGAGATTGCCGGCCTCAAGCTTCTCCGCCTCATGAACGACACAACCGCTGCCGCTCTCGGCTGGGGTATCACCAAGCTCGACCTCCCCGCGCCCGAGGAGGCCCCCCGCCGCGTCGCCTTCATCGACATTGGCCACAGCAACTACACCTGCTCCATCATCGAGTTCAAGAAGGGCGAGCTCGCCGTCAAGGCGACCACCTACGACCGCCACTTTGGCGGCCGCGACTTTGACAAGGCTATTGTCGACCACCTGCAGAAGGAGTTCAAGGGCAAGTACGGCTGCGACATCAACACCCACCCCAGGGCCTACGCTCGCACCGTTGCCGCTGCCGAGAAGTGCAAGAAGATTCTGTCGGCGAACCAGCAGTCCCCTGTCAACGTCGAGTCCCTCATGAACGACATTGACGTGTCCGCTATGATCACACGTCAGGAGTTCGAGGCCATGGTTGAGCCTCTTCTGGCCCGTGTCCACGTTCCTCTTGAGCAGGCCCTTGCCGACGCCAAGCTGACCAAGGATGACATTGACGTGATTGAGATCCTCGGCGGCGGTTCCCGTGTGCCCGCCCTCAAGGAGAGGATCCAGGAATTCTTCGGCAAGACCCTGTCCTTCACCCTCAACCAGGACGAGGCCGTCGCCCGTGGTTGCGCTTTCAGCTGCGCCATTCTGTCCCCCGTCTTCCGTGTCCGTGACTTCACTGTCCAGGACATCATGAGCTACCCCGTCGAGTTCGCCTGGGAGAAGGCTGCCGACATTCCTGACGAGGAGACGAGCCTGACAGTCTTCAACAGGGGCAACGTTCTGCCCTCGACCAAGATCCTGACTTTCTACCGGAAACAGCCCTTCGATCTCGAGGCCAGATACGTCAAGCCCGAGCTGCTGCCCGGCAAGATCAACCCATGGATCGGCCGCTTCTCCGTCAAGGGCGTCCAGGCCGACGGCAAGGACGACTTTATGATCTGCAAGCTCAAGGCCCGTGTCAACATTCACGGTGTCCTCAATGTCGAGAGCGGCTACTACGTCGAGGACCAGGAGGTCGAGGAGGAGATCAAGGAGGAGCCCAAGGATGGCGAGAAGAAGGATCCTGATGTAAGTCCACATGTTCCAACAACACCCCGACCCCACCTGCCACTTCTGCCCCTTTCAGCGATGGCTTTTTTTTTTCCCCGTGGCACAAGTGTGCAAATCGCCATTACACGCGCGCGCGCGCGTAAATGGCGGGGAAAGCTCGTCCTCTGTGAAGAGAATGATTTGCCAACGTTGTCCTCCAGTCCATTTCAGAGCGCGCAGACCGATTCTTTTCGAAGCTAACCAAGACTTTTTCCGATAAGGCCATGGAGACGGACAACAAAGATGACGCGCCCAAGAAGACCCGCAAGGTCAAGAAGCAGGTCCGCAAGGGTGACCTCCCTATTTCCACCGGCACCGCCTCGCTTCCCGAGTCCACCAAGATTGCGCTCTTCGAGAAGGAGAACGCCATGGTCATGGAGGACAAGCTGGTGGCCGACACGGAGGAGAAGAAGAACGAGCTCGAGACGTACATCTACGACCTCCGCAACAAGCTCGATGACCAGTACGCCGAGCTTGCCACTGAGGAGGAGAAGACCAAGATAAAGGAGAAGCTTGAGGCTAGCGAGGTAAGCGAACACGATTTGCCATTCACCAGACGCATGAGACTGTGCCGCTAACGCTGTGATTCCAGGACTGGCTCTACGATGAGGGCGACGACACGACCAAGGCCGTGTACATTGCCAAGATTGACGAGCTCCGCGCCATGGCCGGACCCATCATGCAGCGCCACTTCGAGAAGGTTGAGGCTGAGCGCCAGGCCGTCCAGGCCAAGATTGATGCCGAGAAGGAGGCCAAGCGTGCTGCCGAAGAGGAGGCTCGCAAGGCCGAGAAGGCCGCCAACGGCGGCAAGGACGAGGAGATGACCGACGCTGCGGGCGAGGCGAAACCCGATGTCGACGAGACTGGCGAGGCCTCCAAGTAAGACGAGCCTTGTCCGATTCTCTCCTCTCCCCCCCCCCCCTTCCTTCCCCATTCCTACTATCCTGCCCCGCTCTTCCTGACGGAAGGGGGCCGGACTCTTTACGACGACGATGAGACCCTTTCAGGGGATGGGGGGCCCGGCGAGGCGGAAGAGCATCATGGCAGAGGGCCCGGCGAGGCATCATAACTCTACTTACTCCCGTTGTTACGACCGAGACTGGGACAGCAAAAGTAATGATTGATAGACTAGACCGAGCCTGAGGGGTATTGTGTTTTGTTGTTGATTTTTCTCCACTTGCGTTATTCTTTTGATGATTCAGGACGAAAGGGCATCAGGCCACACTCAGTGGGACCTTAGTTAGGTTGGGTGGTCAGGGAATGAACATGATGAGCATTGACTGTACTGACATGGCGCGTGAGCTGTCTTTTGCCCCTTATCGGTGTGAAGTTTGGAGCCCAGTCAGACACGTGAGGCAGCATGCGCTCAATGAGGCAGAACAGAGTGTTCGTAGGCGTGTGGTTGAAGTACTGAATTATCATGGGTTGCCATCTCACTGACTCTGCATCCGAGGTTTTCGTATTCCGGCACCCCAAGAGCCGAAGAGGGGTGTTAACGTGTTCTGAGCACAGATCTGTCTGTCCAGCCCTACAGCCTAATCAGAAGAAAGGAGAGCAGCTCCTGGTGATCTAGCATATCTTGACAACTGACAGACATAACGGGGAAACAGGCCAGTCTGCCGGTGACAACCGCTACACCCATCATGGCCTGCCACCAAGCTCACAACCTTCCGTGGAACGTCCTGGCATCCAACTTTAAGCACGTCGCAGCCCACCGCGGCGTGGAGCACACGAACCTGTTCCCGCGCTTCAAGCAGCACCAGGGCAAGGAAATCCAGTACTTCATCAACGCCTTCTGCAGCAACGTGACGGCGCACAGGCGAGTCGAGCTGCGCAAGTTCGGCGACGAGCCGCAGCCATCGCCGGACGCGGACATCTCGACAGACACACAGTCCGACGTGCCCCCGGACGCCATCCTCCTGACAGACGAGACGGTCGAGCGCATCAAGCACTCGCTCCACGGCTGCGCCGAGATCGACTGGTACGGCGACGAGCCGGGCCTGGACTGGACGACGGTGCCGTCCCGCTTCAGGCGCGCCGGGGCCTTCTTCCTCGGCCGCGGCGAGTCTGGCGACGGGGCCGTTGACGGGCGCGAGGCCTGGCGCAGCGGCCCCGGCGCCTTCGTCAGCCTCGAGCTCTTCAAGCTGCTGCTGCTGCACGGCGAGATGGCCACGCCGCGGCGCATCAGCCGCGACGGCGGCCCGCGCGCGCGCGCCGCCTGGGTCCAGGGGTGGGAACGGCACTACGACGCGCACGGCGACCAGAACGCGTGCGGCTGGGGGTTCGTGCCCAAGCTGGCGCTCAAGGCCTACCTGTGCCTGAACCTGCTGCTGTGTTTCCCGCCGCTGCACGACGGCGGGCCCCCGCTCGACTACCGCGACACGCGCTGCTACCAGCACACGCTGCGCGAGTGCTGCCTCACGGACCCCGCGGCCACGGCGGCGGCGCTGCCGCACCAGCACTTCTTCGGCGTCCCGCGCGGCGTCTACGCGCGGTACGGCTACGGTCCCGCGCCGGCGGCGCACCTGACGGACCAGTACCCGAGCCGCGAGCGGGCGCGCTTCCCGTACGGTGTCCTGCCGTTCGGGGACTTTATCCATCTCGAGGGCCCCGTGCCGCACCAGCCGTCGGTCCCGGACGTGCTCCGCGTGCGGTGGTGCCTCTGCCGGCTCGGGCTGCCGACCGAGCTGGCGACCGAGGTCATGGACTTTGCCGGCTATGTGCCCCTGCGGCGTCTGCCCGTGGCCCACGATCCGTTCCACAAGGCGAATAGGGAGGAGCTGCGGAGATATCTCAACTACTGCTGGACTGTCATCGTGCGGACCGACATGCTCGGCTCGTGGCTGGGATACGACGTGCCTTGGGACCGGCTAGTGGCCGAGGAACTGATGCAGCTTGTGGGCTACGGCCCCAGTACTCAGGTCGCATATGCTCATGGTAGGAGGTTTTGCACCGAGGAGTATGACGATGAATGCCAGGGGTTCAGATACCACGAGTCGTACAAATATACATTTTACTGAGACGATCTCGGGTTTGCTGTGATGGACTGTCAACATAATTCCAGCCTCTTGTGATTCTCGTGCCTCATGACAGCTTCAGCTAGGCACAGCATACACCGTTCGTCTGCTTCCCCACCGCAGACACCCGGCAGAAACAGGATGCCGCGACACGAATATCGGCAGATGCTGTAACAACGTCCTTTTGCAGACTGAGTGCCCACGCCTCGTCCTCCTTGCCGTTGCGAACGAGAGATTCATGCAGCCCGTGCAACCCCCAAACGTTACCGAGCCTGGCCTTTCGCCGAGACAGGTCCTTACTGAGGCCCAAGTCCTGCCGGTATACCACCTCGGCCTCTTCGGAACGGCCCTGCTCGAGCAACAGAGCGCCCAGAGCGTGCCTGACCGGCTGCATCCAGAGCGGCGGGTCGCTATAGGGAAGATGATCTTCGAGTGTGGCGGCCTGGCGAAGGAGGTCAAAGGCTCGGTCATGCTCTCCCTCGCGATAGACAAGTTCACCTTCGCACATGAGAAACGCCACCTCAAGCACCTCCTTGGCCACAGCCGTGACACCCCATCGACGTTCCCTAGGCACAGCAGCCCGCGCTTGTTCGAATTTGTCCCTTTCCGCCCGTGCCTCCTCCTTCCGCCCCAAGACGCCAAGCGCTATGGCTCGCCCATAGAAAGTAACGGCCGTCGTGATGCTCCAGAGGCTCGCATCCGCTGGTGGCTCGACCTCCAGCAGTTCCTCCCACCGCCCGAACCGTATCAGGGCGTGCACGAGAATGCCGCCCTGGAACTCGACCCAATCCACCATGGGCGGTGACCTCACGGCCAGCAATTTTGGCGTCAACACCTGTCTAATGTGGTGTGCCGCTGAGATGGCGACCTCGGACCTGCCGGACATCATGGCGGCGTACACCAAGGCCGAGAGGTTATGCGTGCGATAGGCCTGGTACAGCACGCTCGCCGAGTCGCGCTCAAAGTAGATGTCGTCGGACCGGGCCGCGCGGCGGTTCGATTCGATGCTGTGACGGTAGTCACCGACGGCAGCGTCAATGTGGGTGGCCATGTGTTGTAAATGTGAGCCATCGGGAACGAGGTCGCGCAGGCGGTCGGCGGCGGGGAGGGCCAGGGCAACGGTCTGGGACATTTCCATGAGATGGATGTAAAGGTGGTTCAGAGCAGCATGGGTGTGGCCACCCGGCAGAGCGAAGCCAGCCTCGATGGCATGACGGGCATTGACGGTCTCCTGGGTCGTCGGGGCACCGGTGTCGAGGTTCCACAGCTGGCGGGGGCGGATGCACATGAGAGACTCAGGGTAGAGAGCCTTGACTTCGAGGTCGGATGGAAAGTCGTCGTGTACGGCCTTCATGGCGTCTGCGTAGGCACGGTCGAGGGTGGCCGGGGTCTCGTCTGAGGGGGCATTCGCCGAGGGGAATCTGGTGACGAGAGCCCGAATGAGAGCCTGCTCAACAGGCGATGCCTGCTCTATGAGCTCCGTCGCGCGAGCCAGAGCCTCACGACCTCTCTCAGCACTGGCCTTGAAGTCTTGGGCGTCATAGCGAGCCCAGGTCTTGTTGTAGTTGGGCCCGACAGCGTAGGCGAGGCCCCAGTGAGCCATGGCGCACTGAGGGTCGTGCTCGGCAGCCCTGGCGAAGCATCGTGCGGCCTCCTCGTGGTTAAAGGCATAGGACCAAACGAGTCCCCGGTCGAACCACGTCTGGGCAGCGTCTGAAGTGGTCGTGACCTTGCGCGAGTAACTGCCCAGGTCGTAGGGGTAGGCCTCCGTCTCGACCTTGGCCACGCTTTTGCTCTCGAGGGGTTGATTCCTGGGATGAATTAGCATGAGTGCATGAGTGAATCGCTCACAGATGACAATGCTCACGCCATGATGATTAGTTTAGAGGTTGGCCCTGAGCGAGGCAATCAACGGCATGTCATGACCAAGGCACGGAGGGGGCAGGTACGACGGGTGCCGGCGCTGTGCTCTAGTGCTCTATATCGGCCTAGGCAGGTACGAAGACAGACCCCGTGGATCACGCCTTCTCCCCACACCTCACGCATCATGCGTCATGCGTCACGCCCTGCGCCTGCCCTGGGCTTGCCTCCTTGGACTTGCCTTCCTCGGGCTTGCCTTCCTCGGGCTTAGGACCTTCTGGTCTCCAGTCATGTCATAATCACTACGTTTGGCCCCGTAAGAAACGGTCAGCGCACAGCGGCAGCACAAGCGCCGCTGAGCAGAGGCCGAGTGGCGTGGTCATCAAATGCCGAAAGCGCGGGGTACACCCCATGCTCCGATCGCACCGGAGGCCAACGACCCATCGTCCACGATGTCTCCGAACGCTCACCGTCCGATGACTACCCACATACGGACACATAACCCGAGATGGCACGCTCATTGACCATCGATGACTGAGGTGCCGTGGACATCAGCCCTCCCGTTTTCCGCTGACGAAGCCATGGCTTCGTCTGAGGTTAGGGATAGGATTTGGTAGGAGAAACGCAGTTGGTAAAAGAGGGGCTCAACAACATCTACCCGTCAAGGCCTCTAGGGTAGAATCCGACATTTGACGCCAATTGATTCGGTCCTGCCGCAAAGCTTAGTGTGAAATATTACAGCCTGAAAAGGCTTGCGAACCACCGAAATCCCAGACCAAAACTTGATGAAGAGGAGAAGAAATGCATCATGTTACTTTTAGGCCTCCAACCTGCCTACTTCGTCTTCGTACAACGAACGTCCCATCTCCGAACCGGACCCGTCCACCCATCCATCCCCCTCCTGTGCCATCTCGTATCACTCGTAACCGTATCCATGACCGTGACCGTGACCGTGACCGTGCCGATGCCCGCGCCCCGAGACTTCGCCCCATTACTCACACCTAAATCAGTGAATGTCGAACAGAGGCTTGAGCTTGATGATGAGCTGCCACTCGTCGTTCGACACATCCTTGCGGTAAAACTCCTTGAGCGTGTCGATGCTCTTGCGCGAGATGAGACTGTACAGCGCATCCGGCTCCTCGAGCTGTCGTCCGTACGTTGGCTGGTGTCCGCCCATTTCGATCTTGACTGCCACCGACGGCTGGCCCTTCTTGCACACGGGAATCTGCTTGTGGTCGCGCTCGATCGAGGTACTGGTACATGCTGTCAGCAGGAGTACACAGGGAGGAGAGGGGGCCAGAAGCAGAAGAGGGAGAGGGGAAAAAGAGGGGGGGGAAAGGGGGGGAGGGGGAAGGGAAATCGGGGGAAAAGGAAAAAAAAAACATACACTCTGCCGAGGTTGATGACTCCTTGACACCCGTCACCGGGTTCGTCTTGACGGCGGCAATGGGCGTGTGATCTTGAGCTGGCCCATCCACAACGTCGACGCCGACAACGATCGGGTTCGTCTTGTTGAACACAGCCACCGTGTTGAGGACGCAGGGGAAGACAGCCAGCATCTTGGACTCCTCCTTCTTCTTCTCCAGGAGCTCGTCCATGTGCTTCGTGAACGAGTCGAACAGGTGGTAGATGATGTCGGCCGTGAAAATCTTGACACCCACGTCCTCGGCGTAGGCCTGCGCCTCCTTGTCGACCTTGACGTCGAAGCAGAGCATGACGGCGTAGTCCGGCGCCTTCTCCAGCATGATGCCCGACTGCATGACGTCGCGCTTGTACACTGGGCCGATACCCACGTTGGCCACGGGAATCTTGCAGTCCTTGAGGAAGTCGAGCAGGGCCTCGAGCGAACCCAGCGTCGAGGCCTGCACGCTGACACCGCGACCCGTCTTCTCCACGCGGTTGAACAGCACGGCGAGATCGGCCTCGACCTCGTCGCAGAGGTCGTCCTCGTCGTCGTCGGGGCCGACCACGAGCAGGCGGGAGCCGGCAATGGCGCCCTCGAGACCCGGCGCGCTGATCTTGACACCCAGCGCCGCCTTGACCTCCTTGTTGTGCACGTACGCCGACTTGAGACGCAGCTCCTTCATCGGCGCCGGCGTCAGCAGCGCACGAATGTTGGTGACGATGGCGCCCTCGACACCGCACAGCACAATCTTGTCGCCCTCGCGCAGGATACCGTTTGTGACGACAACGTCGATGGTCATGCCGAAACCCTCGATCGCCTTGACCTCGAGAACGGTGGCCTGCACCTCGGCGAGGTACATGAGCGAGCCGACCATGCGCTCCTGCGTCAGCTGCACAATGAGCTTCAGCATGTCGGGGATACCCTCGCCCGTGTGCGCCGACGTGGGGATGAGGGAGACGTTCTTGGCCATCGACTTGTTCTCGTAGTACAGTTCGGCGTTGAATCCCTGCTCGGCGAAGAGGACCTTGGTCTGCTCGAGACGGTTCTTGAACTCGTTCTGCACGCCCTTGGGCTGCAGCGCCAGACTCTCCTGGAAACCGTTGTTGTCGACCTTCTTCCAGCCGTAAAGACGATCGATCTTGTTGAGGGCAACGACGAAAGGCGTCTTCCTGTCGCGGAGGAGCTTCATCGACTCGAGCGTCTGCTGCTCGAGACCGTGCATGATGTCGACAACGAGAATGGCAATGTTGCACAGGGACGAGCCACGAGATCGGAGGTTGGAGAAGGACTCGTGACCGGGCGTGTCGATGATCAAAAGACCAGGGACCTTGAACTCGAAAGCGCCGTCGGGGTTGACAACGGCCGTCTTTTGCCTGATGGCCTCGACGGGGAAGTATGTGGCACCGATCTGCTGGGTGATACCGCCAGCCTCGCCCTCCTGGACGTTGGTCTGTCGGATCTTGTCGAGAAGCTTCGTCTTTCCGGTATCGACGTGACCGAGAATACAGCAAATGGGCGACCGGAGGTTGTCCTTGGACCGGGCGGCGAGGGCGGCCTGGTGGGCCTTCTCACGACGCTCGGCCGCCTCCCTCTTGCGCTGTGCTTCCTGCAGGGCCCTCGTGGTGGCCTCCTCGTCTTCCGACTCGGATTCGGACTCGGAGTCTTCCTCTTCTTCTGAATCGTCTTCCTTTTCCTTTGGCCTAGAGGGAAGCGCCTTGTCGGCCTTGGCCTTGGCCTCGTCGTCGCTGTCGGCATCCCAGCTGTCCTTGACGTCGTCAGAGTCAGCTGCGGCCTCCCAGTCTTCCTCAACGTCGCTCTCGGGCTTCTTGGCCGCCTTGGCCTCCTCCTCTGCGGCTTTTCGGCGGGCCTCCTCCTCGGCCTCCTTGAGGAGCTTCTCAGCCTGCTCCTTCGCACGGGCGGCAGCCTCGGCGAGCACCTTCTCCTCATCGACCTAGAACACGTCACGTCAGCACATGGGTTGGTTCTCGGGTACCACATGATCGGCAAAAAGCGAGCGCCCCTACCTTCTCAGCAGCCTTGCGGCCGCCCTTCTTCCTGTCGGCGGGCTTCTTCTTCTCCGTCTCGCCCTCCTCATCGGCAGGGCCGACCTTGATACCAGCAGCAATCATCTGCTGAAGCTTGCGCTCGTTGCGGGCCTTTTCCTCCTTCTGGGCCTTGGTCATGTATTTGCCCTCCTTCTTGAGCTGCTCGATCTTCTCCTTCTCCCTCTGCTTCTTGAGGAGGCGGGCTTCCTCGCGGGCCTTGATCTCCTCCTCGGTGCGGCGGGCGTCCTCCTCCGCCCTGCGCTTCTCCTCCTCCTTGATGCGCTCAGCCTCCTCGGCCTTGCGGCGCAGCTCCTCCTGCTGCTTCTGGATGAGGGCGAGGTGGGCGGGGATCTTCTTCTTCTTGCCGTCGGCGGCAGCGGGAGCGGCGGCAGCAGTAGCAGCGGCCGACGTATCCTTCTTCTCAGCAGCCTTGGCGGGCTCCGCGGCCTTGGCGGCACCGCCAGAAGCCTTCTTCTTCGCAGCCTGCCAACGTCACGTGTCAGCATTCCATGTCCTGCCCCCGTCGTGGACGACGAACGGACACCGCCGCCGTCGGCAGAGGAAAAGAAGGGGGAGGGGGTGAGCTCACCATCTCCTTCTTGCGCTGCTTCTCCTTCTCCTTCTTGATCTTCTCCTTCTCCGCCTTGGTCAGCACACGACCGGGCTCAGCGCCGTCAGCGCCGTCCCCGGCGCCAGCATCGCCCGCCGCCGCCGCAGACTTGTCGGCCTGCTTGCCCTTGCCGCCCTTGCCCTTCTTCTCGGGCAGCGCCCACTCGTCCTCGGCCGTGGCCTCGACGGGGGCGGCGGCCTCGGGCGCCTCCTCCTCGTCCTGAAGGCCCTTCTTCTTGCGCTTCTCCCTGTTCTTGCGCAGCGTCGCCATCAGGCCGCCGGCCTCCTCCTCCTCGGCGGCGGCGGCGTCGCCAGCAGCGGCGGCATCGGTGGCGGGGGCCTCGCCGGTGGCACGATGGACTCGCCCAGCTCGGCCTCCCAGTCGTCATCGCCGCCCTTCTTGTTTCCCTTCTTCTTCGGCGCCATGTTGGCCGGTTTCGTTGCTGAATCAGGGCAGGGA